CTCAGTAACTAACTACTTACTCCAACTACAAAATGTACACTCACCTTAGACTCCTGTATTTTGTTAGATGCAGTGTTTTCCTAATGCACTTCCAAAATATCATACCTGGTTTTCTCAAAGTACTGTTGCGGGAAGTAACTCCTTTTAACTAATCCAGGTCAGGTCAGGATAATCAAGACCAATCTTGCTACTGGTATCACGTAACCCAGTACCATCTGTCACAAGCCCTGCTGCCTTGCAGAGTGTGCTCTTTTTAGGCAAAGGCTAGGAGAAATAAACTCCGACTAAAAATTCCCCTGCCTTTGGGCTCTTGGTTCAGTAAAGGCTAGAGATGGTGTCTCGATAAAAACACTCATCTTGGGCAGATGTTAACTGCATCCAGCTAAACATCCCCTGCCTTGGGGCTCTTGGTTGAGTAAAGGCTAGAGATGGTGTCTTGATAAAAATACTCATCTTGGGCAGATGTTAAATGCATCCAGCTACTGTCTTGTAGAAGGCCTCCTAGGCAAAGACTTTAGGGGTAAGCAGAAAAATTCTGCAAACCAGCCTCGAACCCATTCTTCATCTATTAGGCTGGCGTAGATGTAACATGTGTTACATTGTTTCCTGCCTAGGATGATGAATGCTGGATCTCCTTGACTCTACTCATAGAATTTTGCTTATGCCTCCTTGATAATGGCTATGCAACTCTTCCTGTTATCTCCATATGAGGGTACAGCTCTAAAACTCAGTTTAATGGTTCTGATGCCGGCTGGTAGTAAGGTTTCCTGAACTCTGTGGTAGCTCTCAGGAGAGGCTGATTCCATCAACAGCTGCAAAATATCAGAGTATTAACAGTGCCATGTTGCGCATGGATGGTGTCCCTGTTAATGTTTTTGGTGTGCATTGTCAAGGCCACATAAGGAGCCCTATGTCACGGCTTAGGGTTAATTAACAGGACAGAGACAACTGCTCTATCTATGAATGAGTCAAGTTCTCATTAAACCCAAATCATTACCAAAGTAACCAAAAATTTAAAATCTAAAAAGCCATCCCCACCACCTAAATATTTTAATATATCTTTAACAAATATTTGCGGTCTATGAAGCAACTTTCCATCAGTTGAGTCTTACCTCCTGCAAAATTCACCAGACTTGCTTGCACTCAGTAAAACAAATTTAAATTCTGCAATTCCTTCCTCAGATGTCAGTGTTGATGGGTACTATCCTTTGATTCGTAAAGACTCAAATAGTCACATGCTAGGTTTAGGGGTATACATACGCATTAATTCCCCTATTTGTCGTGAAATCAGGTTCGAATCTTTTGACCATTCTTTTATGTGCTTTCGCCTAGCACCTCTTCACTCTATCACCTTTCTCTTTGTTCTTTATCGTTCTCCTTCTTCCCATGATTGCACTCTCTTAGATGTTATCTCTGATCAAATTGACCATGCCCTCTCTCTTTACCCCTCTGCCAATATTGTTGTTGTTGGTGATTTTAATGCCCATCACACTGAATGGCTTGGCTCTAACACCACTGATCCTGCTGGCACTAAAGCCTTTAACTTCTGCGTTTCTCAATCTCTTACTCAGATAGTTAACTTTGTGACTCGTTTTCCTGACAACCCTAATCATTTACCTTCACTCCTTCACTTATGTCTTGTCTCTGACCCTAGCTTATGTTCAGTTTCTCCCTTTTCTCCCTTAGGTGGTTCTGACCATGCAATGAAATCTATAAATCTTTCTTCTTGTACTTCTTTTTTGGGCTCACCTTATCATCACACCACCTACTACTACCCTAAAGCTGACTGGGATTCCTTTCGTGATTTTCTTCGTGATGGTCCTTGGGCTGATGTTTTTTCTCTCTCAGCTGACAAATGCGCCTCCTACATAACCTCCTGGATTCAGGCTGGAATGGAAGCTTTTATTCCCTCGCGTCGGTTTTAAGTCAAGCCTCATTCTACTCCATGGTTTTCTCCTTCTTGTGCGGCTGCTATATCCAATCGTAATCATTTTTTTCATCTTTTTCATAAGAACAACTCTCTTGAGAACAAAAAGCTATTTATTATTGCAAGAAATCGATGTAAAAAAGTGCTTTCTGATGCTAAACTCTATTATTCTCAGTTCACTAAATCACGCATCTTATCACAGAAGTTAGGCTCTAAAGACTTTTGGAAAATATTCAACAGCATTATTAACAAGGGTAGATCTAACATTCCATCTCTCATTCATGGGACTGATCTTATTACCTCTCCCAAGGATAAGGCAGAACTGTTTGCAAAGATATTTTCTTCTAATTCCACTCTTGAATCTTATGGACATTCTCTTCCTTCCATTCCAGTCAAACAGGTGACCCATTGTTAGACATTCAAATCACTTCGGCTTCTGTTGCTAAAGTCATATCTCAATTAAACTCGTCTACAGCTTGTGGTCCAGACAACATTCCTGTCACAATCTTGCAGAATCGTTCTCCAGAACTTTCTTCAATTCTCTCTAAACTATTTAACAAGTGTTTGACTGAGTCTTGTTTTCCTGCCTGTTGGAAAATGGCATCTGTGGTTCTAATTTTCAAAAACTCTGAAGAAAATTTTGACCCCTCCAATTATCGTCTGATCAGTATTCTTTCTGTTATTAGCAAGGTCTTTGAGTCTTTGATCAACAAATTACTCACATCTCATCTTGAGTCAAATAAACTACTGTCAGACAATCAATACGATTTTCGATCCTCTCACTCTACGGCCGACTTGCTAACTGCTGTAACTGAAAGATTTTATCGTGCATTAGATGGAGGCGGTAAAACTAGGGCTATTGCTCTCGACATATCTAAAGCTTTCGACAAAGTTTGGCATGCTGGTCTTCTCCATAAGCTTGCTTCATATGGTGTTTCTGGAAAAGTTTTTGAGATTATCAAATCATTTCTTTCTAACCAGTTTATTAAAGTCATCCTTGAAGGCCAACACTCTTCTTTATTTCCAGTATTTTCTGGGGTTCCCCAAGGTTCCATCCTGGGCCCTGTTTTGTTTCTTATCTACATAAACGATCTTCCTGACAACCTTTCATCTAAAGTAGCTCTTTTTGCTGATGACTCAACTTTATACTCCTGTCTTGACAAAAAGCCTTCTCTTTTCGATCGCCTAGAACAAGCAGCTGATCTTGAATCCGATCTCACTTCAGTAATAGATTGGGGTTCACAGTGGCTTGTGAATTTCAACTCTAAAAAAACCCAGTTGCTTACTGCAAACAACTACCGTAATATGGTCAACATTCTTATATTAATGAATGGCAATCCTCTTACTGAGTCGTCCTCTTTTCGTCTTTTTGGATTATCGCTTACTACTGACCTTTCATGGAAACCATATATACAATTGATTGCTAAATTAGCTTCTGCTAAGGTTGCTTCTCTTTATCGTGCTCGCCATTTTCTTACTTCTGATTCCATTCTCTACCTCTACAAATCTCTTATTCGTCCCTGTATGGAATACTGTTGTCATATTTGGGCTGGTTCTTCTAACGATTCACTTTCTCTTCTTGACAAGGTCCAAAAACACATTGTAAATGTTGTTGGACCTGGACTATCTGCTAAGCTTGAACCTCTTTCCCATCGTTGTAAAGTTGCATCTCTTTCTCTTTTCTACATATATTATCATGGTCACGGCTCAAAGGAGTTATCATCTCTAGTTCCATCAACTAAAATTCATTCTCGTTTTACTCGTCATTCAGCTAAGTCTCATTCGTTTACTGTATCTGTCCCTGCATGCTCTAAAAACTTTTATTCATCTAGTTTTTTTCCCTGCACTTCAATCCTTTGGAACTCTCTCCCATCTTCATGTTTTCCTACTCATGCAACCTTCAACTTTTCAAGTCTTCTGTCAACCGTTTCCTTGCTCTATAACTCTGTTCTTTTTTTTCCTAGTAACTCCCAACTTGATAGTGGTTGCTTGCAGCCTTGTTGGGAATGCAAATAAAAAAAAAAAAAAAAAATTTGCAATTATGACCACTGCGACGCCATTCAGGTAAAGAAATATGATATTATTTATAGGACAATGAAGCGTTAAGATTTTTATTAACTGTTATTGTCTCAAACACAGTTGGTATACCTGATATTTAATCAAAACAGAGCTTATAGTAAACAACACTATTATGAAGTTTCTTAAATGTAAATCTTGGTGGACAATGCTGTTCTGTTAACAAATCAAGACTAATTATTTTAGCCACATTTCGAAAATCACTGAACTCATCTTTTCCCAAGTACCTTGAAGTTTATTTTTTTCTGGGCAACATTGGCACCCTTTAAGTTAATGAATCTGTGTGAATAGTTAGAACAGGTTGGAGATCCCATTTCATGTTACATCTTTTCCCATTTTTGATAAATATATCCTCGATATGATCAACACAAATAGCAGAGTATTTAGATGGAACCCAAACTTTTCTATTGACAAAATATATCCATCTTTCTCGCAAATTGCTTTCTACAGGAAAATGAAATGTAGACTTTTTGGACCAGTAGAGAAGCCAGTTTTACAGTTTGTGGCAACACATTTATTAATCATTTTTAAAACTAAAAAAAAATTTTAAAACTACAATAATATTGAGCTTTCTTACATTTTTTATTGAAATTATCTCCACTTGAATAACATTGCATAAAAAAGCAGTTCAACTATATACAATATACTAAGTAGACTATTTGTGTGTCTATTTCATTATTACACTCACTAATGGATTATAATGAAGCAGACAATCAGTCAGAATATAACTAAAAATACATATTACATGAGTATGAAAGCATAAACCAAACTTTGATATAATAATTGTAATAACCGCATCTTTTTAATTATTAAATATTGTTAATCGTCTCATAATAGAAAATCATCTGTAAAAAAACTGGCATCTTAATTTTTTGCGGAAAATGCAACAAATCAGGCAGTGTAATTATAGTAGTCCATGATACTTATATAGTTATAATTTTTTACTTTACTATTCCATTAAAATCTTTGTTTTTTCTATTATAACTTTTTGTTTTAGGGAGTTAAGACATAGCAATTTACAGGAGTTTCCAGAGAGCATTGTTTTCAGTTTGCCAATGTTACAATCTCTGTAAGTTAGTATGTTTTTGTGTTTTTGCTTTTCCACTTTTGCAGCAAGTATTATTTTTATTAACACATATTTTTTCATCTGTATTTTTTATTATGCTGTATTTTTATTAAAATAATTTTATTTTGCTTTTGTGTTTTTGTTTTTTAAATTCTTATTTATCTTAAAGAAATATTTTTGACAATGTTTTTACATGTGGGTGCTCAATATTATGGCTTTACAAGGAAAGTTGGATTCAGCGGTTTTGGTCAAATGATATAAATTTTCATCAATTTTTGTGCAGAGACAAAATAACTTTTCATTTATATTATTTGTCAAAAACAAACAGTACAGAAATTTGCAGTTAGTTTTTGTTTTATCTTAAAGTATATGATAGCTTTAACTATTTAATAATGGAGATAAAATTATTATGGAGACAAAATTGTGTTAAAAAAAATACTAATGGAGATAAAATAATATAGATAAAATTTATTTGTATATAAAAATAGTTCCAACGTGGAGTGAATGGTCACCATGTCTCTCAACTTGTAGTGATAACTTCAAAGATCAAAGCAGAAGTGCAGATTGCATAGTTGATAATGCCAACTGTAAAGATGGGAAGTTTTATGAAGTGAGAAAGTGTGAGGCAAAGGGATGCTCTGGTTAGATAGTATCATTTGTTTTAATTATTATTGCTTTTTTTTATTTTATTATTGGTCAGTTTTTTATTAAAATTTTGTTATTACTAGTTGGATCTGTGTTGTTGCACTTGAACCAACATCCTCATTACCATACCTCCTGTATTATTTTTTTAAAATTGTTTAGCAATATTTTTTTGAAACACCATAGCAGATAATATCTAGATCATATTAGATACTTGATAAGATGGTTGTAGTAGTATATAGTAGATGGTTGATAAGCTGCCTAATGGGAAGTCTTAGAGAACATTTGCTGCAGCTTAGTCAGCAAAGATAACTTGTTGAAAAAAAAATTATTTTCCCACTAGGGAAAAATATGATTAATAATTAGATTATATACTGCAGAAAAGAAAATTTGAATTATTTGTGTCAGTTTTTTGGTTAACTTAACTTTTGCAGTATTTGCTAAGAAAATCTTTATTTCTGCATATAGGTAAAGAATAAAAAGGGACTATAAAGAAGTTGTGTTTCAACAAGTTTCAACATCTTCTGTCGAACAAATGATATTAGATAGTACTTGTGTCACTTGTTCAAAATATGAAAAAGTTAGTAAGTTAAAAAGTACTAGAAATCAGAGAAAATTTATAAAAATTAAAAAGTAAAATTATAGATTATATGCAATACAATTTTTTCTTTAAAATCATTGAAAATTAGTTATGCTGAAAATTAATTTTGAAAAAGTTTAAGTGAGTTACTCTGGGTATTTCAATTATCAGTTTGTTTTTTTTTCTTTTTTGATTGATTTTTGATGGTAATTTAATTTCTTTCTTTTTTGGCTTTGCGAATATCTGGTTTCTCATTCTGTTAAGAGTTTACATACTTTTCTAATAATTTTAAACATAGTTATATATATATACAAAGTTAAATCTTGTTGGTTTTAAAACCTTTTTTTTTTAATTGGTTTTTTAACTCATGTTATTTAGTTACGTAGAAACAACAGACGAACTTGGTAAATAAAAAAGAAGGAAAACAATATTTTTTATTTGAAACACATTACTATATGAAATTTTGGTAATATGAAATAAATTACATTATAATAAAGGAGAATTAATTTTCGAACAAAGCATATTTTGACAATTGTGAAGACAAAAATAAAAATTAATAAAGGAATATTTAAAAATTAATAAAACAGACAATGCACCTAATACAGTACTTAACAATAATAATAATAATGAAAAAAAAAAAAAAATTGTTTTATAAACACTAAGATATACAACAAATATATCATCAGACAAAAAACTTATAAAACAAAAAATTGATTACAAAATAAAAAGTATGCTAACAACAATGAAAGGGCTCAGAATGGAAAAAAAACATGCTGATGTGTAAACATATTTTGTGTAGTGATTAAGTAATAAACATCTCCTCAGAGTCATGTCATTGTTACTGGCTATTCAATGAGGATCAGCATTTATAACTAGTTCCTGTCAGACAAACGTCATAGCCATTTATGCTTTACCCCGTGACTTACGCCTATTCCATACTGCAGTAAAAAAGGACTCACTACAAATAGCCAAAACCCAATCAACCTCAAATTTGTAAAGCACCAATATTTTTTTGATGATATGATAAATTTTTTGAAACTTTTTCAAATATTAATGAAAAATTTATTATTAGGAGGCATTTATAAAGTACGTACACAGTAAAGTCACTGATTTAGTACCCCTCTCCCCCTTGTACCAACCTGTACGCTATTGAAGACATTCCTCCCCGACCCCTCCCCCTTCGCATACGTACGCATTTTTTTTTTTTTTTTAATTAACTCTATTTTTTTTTCTCATTATTTATAAAGAATTAAAAAAAAAATTGTAACTGAAGTCAGAAAAAAAAACAATTCTAATTTGTTACACTTGTAAAATCAATGTTTTTTTAAAAAAAAAAAAAATCATGTTTAGTATAGTAAAACCGCGTTCGTACTTTCTGTCTTTAACACCTCCTCCCCCTTGTAAAAAAGAAAAAAATATTATATATTTGAATCACATTACTATATGAAATTTTTATTTACTTTTTTTCTTCCAGGAAGCACAGTAACAAATTAAAAAAAAATTTATAGGGTTTAGACTTTGAGATTATGGAAAATATACATATTAAATTACAGTAGAAATTTATTATTATTTGTTGTTGTGTTGTTAAGCAATTAGTTAGTAATTTCCTAATTATTATAGTTGAGTGCAAAAAAAGTTTCAAGAACCAAAAAGATTTTTAAGAAATTCTCTGAATGATAATAAAAGATGAAAATTGTGCATATGAAGATTAAAACAAAGCTGAGTAATAAATGCAAGATAAAATAACATAAGAATTCCTTGTTAACAGTAATAATATGAAAATCAGCAGATAAATAATCTATTAAGGAATATTGCAATAAGACTAACTAAATGTTGTAACAAAGCCAGATAAATATGAGCCAAAGGAGTGGTTAAAAGTTTGTTTTGGGTGATATAACAGTGATATAAGTAGTGATATAAAAACGATGTACAAAGCGGTAAAAAATATTGTTAAGAAGTAAAGTTTTCTCGACAGTCCGAATAACAAGTAACTTTGAGACTATATCTAAATCAAAATTTTCGAAAAGTAAAATGCTCCACTAATATGTCGAAAGCCACTAGTTAATAAGAATCGCTCTTATATACATATATATATATATATATATATATAATATATATATATATATATATATATATATATATATATATATATATATATATATATATATATATATATATATATATATATATATATATATATATATATATATATATATATATGTAAGCAAAAAAATAATTCCTTCTCTTAGTCTTAAAGAAAGCAAAAGTTGAAGAAGTGCTTTAACATTAATAAAAATCACAGTGCAAAAGAACAAATAACTTTCTATTTAATAAATGATGTTTGGAATAAGTAATTAATGGACAATCCCATACCGAAAGCGGGTTTTATTAATTCACCAACGCTGTTAGCTTAGAGTTAATCAGTGCCATTATTAAATATATTACGTTATTAAATATATAACTAAAGTTATATTGCCCAATCAGTTTGTAAAAATATACCAGTGGTGTCAAATATTTAAGACCAAAAAATGTGATTTTTTTTTGGGGGGGGGGGTGAGAACCCATAAATTGGCACCATAGTCATAGTTGTATTGTAAAATTTTGTATTGTAAAAAAAAAGTTGTATTGTAAAAGTTGTAATGTAAATTCAGGTTATTGCAAACAATGATTTTTCTAATTTATTAAGATCAATGATTCTTACATTTTTCTAAAAGGGTCTGATAAAGGTAACAATAAATATACTAATATAATTAGAAATACAATTAATAATTTCAGTTGAAACAGAAAGTAAGATGAACTTTGCACCGTTAGAACTAAAACAAGCAGAAGATCATGCAAAAGGAGTTTCCAGTAGTGTGCATATTGCAATAGGCTTTGGTCTCTTTATATTCTTTATTGTTGTGGTTGCAGTTTATATGAAGTGCAAAAAGTGAGTATGCTTATTGATATGAACACATATATATATATATATATATATATATATATATATATATATATATATATATATATATATATATATATATATATATATATATATATATATATATATATATATATATATATATAAATATATATATATATATATATATATATATATGTATATGTATATGTATATGTATATATATATATATATATATATATATATATATATATATATATATATATATATATATATATATATATATATATATATATATATATATATATATATATATATATATATATATGTAAACGTTTTTTTGACTTTTTATTTTCTATATAGCAAAAAAATTGTTTTTAGGGTATCAAAAAAATGCAAAAAAATTAAAATAACCATTATATGAATAGTGCAATTTCTTTTTTTTTATAATAAATTAAAATTAACAGTTTTTTATAACTATTATTTTTTAAGTAGAAAAAAGTATTGTTATGGTAAATAAAGGAAATAAACAATCATTTTCAATATAAAGTCATTTTTCCGACCTAATAGGAAATTTGTAGAACATAAAAGAACTCTGAATGCTTATACTTTATTATAGCAACAATTTTGCTCGAGCCATTCAGATGGAGACTAAGACAAAAAGAGATTGTGATGCCTTTAAAGCCATTTAGGAAGACATTTGAGCAACATAAACCTGTCATTAAGTTACCATGACAGATGTGCGAAACAATAAAAAGTACAATATATGTAAATATATATTTTATAATCAATATATATATATATATATACATATATATATATATATATATATATATATATATATATATATATATATATATATATATATATATATATATATATATATATATATATATATATATATATATATATATATTTCAGCCATGTATGTAAAAATTAAAGTGACATTTTCTAGATTTTTGTCTGGTAAATTGTTCAACAATATCATCAAGTGAGAGTTGTCTGGTCACCTCACTTTCAATACACATCAAAAAAGCATGTCGAGCCGCATTGATTACTTCTAGTACAGCATTTGTTTTTATACGCTTCAATTGCTTTATTCAATCTTTGCATTAGAGTGTCCCAAAAGACAGTTAAAGTACCAGTTTTCAATTCACCAAGACGTTTTGCTAGTCCAAACACCTCTTGTCGAGTTTCACCTTTTGTAAGTTTATCAGTTGCAATGATATCTAGAACGTACTGAATATTCTCGAAACCTTTTCGCAAAGCACTTGTTGCATCAGCATGTGCTGACCAATGTGTGTCTGATAGTTTTTTAGGCACTGGTATTTTCTCTTTGCCTAGCGCTTTTGTCAGGGTTGTCCATCGATGAGTGGAGGTCGATGAGTGGAGGCACTAAAAAATGTGTAGATCCATTGCACAATATTAAAGAAACCATCTGCGGCACTACAACAACCAACAGCATTTTTGCCAATTAAGTTTATTGAATGAGCAAAGCAAGGTGTGTAAATAGCATATTTACAAACAGATAAAATATGAGCCTAAACACCGTTAAAACATCCAGACATATTCAATGCATTATCAAACGTCTGACCACCACAGTTGCCAATGTCAATATTAATTTCTTCTAAGAACTTTAATAATGCATTTGATAATCCAATTCCAGTGTGACTTTCAAGCTTAATGAATGTCAAATAACGCTTAATTGTTTCACCTTTGTCGTTTTACATTTTCTTTTTTTGTTTTCTAAAACTTTAATTATTTTTTGTTTGTTTTTTGTTTTGTCGTTGTAAAAAAAATCTGCTTTTGCGGAAGTTACTGCAGCAAACTTCAACTCTCAACTTAGTTGAGTTGAGTTAAACTAGGGACGTATAAATAGATGGACGTTTAACCGATTTTGCATAAAAATAACGATAGTCTCGCATAGCCAGTTAAATGTTAAAATATTAAAAAAAGGTGGGTCAAACTGAACACCTTTTTACTATTTTCACTATTTGTTTATATATTCTTATGTAGTTTTTTATTCTATCTAATAAAAAAATTTAAAAATTAAAAAAGTTATTTTTTTATTACTGATAAGTGAGCGGTTTAACCCAGTTTTACCCTCTGTTCATGATATTTAATATATATATATATATATATATATATATATATATATATATATATATATATATATATATATATATATATATATATATATATATATATATATATATATATATATATATATATATATATATATATGTATATATATATATATATATATATATATATATATATATATATATATATATATATATATATATATATATATATATATATATATATATATATATATATATATATATATATATATATATATATATATAAATTCCAATTCCAATGGATATTTTAGAATTGTCAGTAAGATTCACTCTGTATATCGAACTTTTTTACTTACTGACGTGTAAAAAGCTCATTAAGCTGTCATAATTATTTTTCAAATTTCGAGTGTTATGAGTTTTTGAAAAACAATTAGTATAAATTATCTTCTACTGTTAAAAAAAATCATGGCATCAAAGAGAAAACAATTTAAAGTGAAAATAAAAAACTCTTATGGAATTAAAGAAAGGAAAAACAAATAAAGAGGTTTCAAAACTTTTTGATATTCAACCAAACACTCTTTCAACCTGGAAAAAGAATGAAGAAATAATCTTTGACACTTTTTGTCAATGAAATTTGACTAAACGGGTTAAAGTTGATTCTTATTACCTTGTAAACAAAGCTGTACTTAAACGGTTTAAATGAATGAGAGCTGATAATATACCAATTAATGGTTTGCTGGTAAAATAAAAAGCTTTATATTTTGCAATAGAGTTATGCTTCAAAAATTTCCAAGCTTTCGAAGGATGGCTTGACTAATTTAAGAAAAAGCAAACTAATTTGGAGATAATTTGACAAAGGTTCTTAAAGATATAAATCGTGTTTTTGACATGAATTTACTAGCTCATAAAATCTACAATTACTAACTTTTTTTTTCAAATTTTAAAGTTTAAAACACATAATATATATTGCTTTTAGGCCTAAGATTTACTATTTGTTTGTTTATTTGATTTCAATTTGTTACTTTGAAAAGAGTATTAGAAAAAAACTCTTTTCAAAGTAACGAAAAAAATTTAATATATATATATATATTTTATATATATATATATATATATATATATATATATATATATATATATATATATATATATATATATATATATATATATATATATATATTTCATTATTTAAGTCGCATATATATTGGCAAAGGAGCGTTTAGCAAATCGCCTGAAAAAGACTTTTCTAACTTAGTCTCATCAAGCACCAAAAGTTTTTTAAAAGATAAATGGAAGTTTCTTTACAAAAATAAAGATAACATTCCTCCTGTGCCTGGAAAGTATAGAGGTTTTTTTCCGACCTATGCTGAAGATTCTTCAAATATCGCAAAAGTTATTCCTCGAAGGCCTCTTGAAGACGACTTCAATATTCCTGAACACATCAGGGCGATGCAGATTCAATCTCAAAGTCAATTTATTCAAGAAAATGTTTCTGATACTCGTCTGAATCACCCATTACAAAAACATCAACCGCCATCACAACGAACCCAACCGCTGCCACAACGAATATCCTCAGAAGGAATGTACTCTACTGTAAATGAATCAGCTGGTCCTTCTCGCATTGTGCATCGTCATTCAGAAACAATTGAGGTAATTATCAGTTTCTACTTTAATTTCTTTTAACGAAACTATCGAAAACAAATAAAATATCGAAACTATCGAAAACAAATAAGTTATCAAAACTATCGAAATCAAATTATTTAAAAGTTATTTTGTCTTTAATTTTTATGGTTATTTATTATTAATTATGTATATATATATATATATATATATATATATATATATTTATATATTTATGTATATATATATATATATATATATATATATATATATATATATATATATATATATATATATATATATATATATATATATATATATATATATATATATATATATAGCTTTAGTTTATTATATTTTTTATTTTTGTTATAAAAGTATAAATCTTTTATTATTTTATAACTCTTTAAATATTTTATAATTTTAAACATCAATTTTTTATTATATTAAGGAGCTCAATGAAAAGATTGAGGTGATGTTGTATCATCCATATCTTCTTTGAACCCCGTCTGTTTTTAAAATATTTTATTTACTGATATTTACCATGTAAAACTCATCTGTAATTTATTTTAACAGCAAAATATAAAAAAAAAAAAAAAAATAGTTTTTATTAGTTCTATCTATAGAGATAAATTGAGATATGAAATATTTATTCTTGTAATAATGAATAAAGCTATTTTTGACATTTAATTTAGCCTTACGACGATACAGAATTTTATATTGAAGTAAAGCAATCCCATCACGATCTACATGATCCAGAAGATGAGACAAACGATAATAAAAAACGAGGGATCTTTTTTAATATGTTTTAGATCGATTAGTTTAATTTTTACGCACCATTTAGCGAACCTATTGTTGCGTAAAAATACTTATCGCAAGCGCAAAAATACTTATCGCAAGCAATTTTACATCTAGTAGGTGGAAGCCTTAAAACAAAATAAATAAAAGTGTTTAAAAAAAGAAAGCGTGTAAGAAATGAAAACATGTACCAATGTAAACAAGTAAACATGGTACTGCTAAATTTTATTATTTTTTGTTCATTAGTTCATTAAGTTTTACGAACTTGCTTAAATTTACGGAACGATTTTATAAACACTAGCATAAATCAACCTAGTTACAAACCCTTCCCGACGGGCATTTGTTTTTAAAAGTTACGATCTAAATGTATTTTAAATGTCTTTTAAACGTCTTTTAAACATTATTGTTTAAAAGACGTTTAAAAGGCGTTTAAAACACATTTAGAACGTAACTTTTAAAAACAAATGCCCGTCGGGTCGCTTAAGTGCTCTAAACAATGATGCCTAATGAAAAATGAGTTTTAAAAAAAAGTACAGTTTAAACAAACCAAAGCTGAAAAGGATTCGTTATTATCTCAGTTATGCCACGCTAATTACTTATGTCTCATAATACCATTTACATAGAATCTAAGGACTGGCGAATATTCGTTAAAATTCGGAGTACGATGTTTACTAAACGGCAAAGTTGACTTCTGCTTCGACTTCGGCGCCGAAGTTGAAATAGAAATTCGTATACATAAACGGTTACATATACGGTTTAAATCCATCTTTCAATTAAATTTGGTATACGCAAATGCTCAAAATTTGTCTTTCATTTAATTTCGAGTCTTTAAAAGATTCGCTTTCATTTAATTTCTACTCTTAAAAAAAGGGCATTCATAAAGTACATACGCAGTTAAAGCTTTGATTTAGGATTCCCTCTCCCTCCTTGTACTCTGTCGAAGAACCCCCTCCCCCATCTGTAATTAAAAAAAAAAATAATGCGCACCTACGCATTATTTTTTTTAAATAAAGCGCTCCTCCTTTCCCAACGCCCACATATATCAAAACATTAAAAACAAAAAAACATTCAATTTATTTGATATTTCTCTGTACTTAAAGCTTAAAATAATACTTAATGTACCTATTTAAATCTTAAAATGTTACAACATATTTTAACATTTTAAGAGAAATGATAAAAACCGAGTTTAACAAAGTGTTTATCAATCCCATCATAACCAAAAAAAATATTATTTAATCTTATGTATCTAAATATTATTTATTCTTATGACTATGATCCCATTCATTCAACCGAGTTTAACAAAGTGTTTAATAATCCCGATTTAACTGTGGCTGAGCGATTGAAAACAAAGTTTTTTACGCGAAGAGTGCAAACTTTTTTACTATTGTATAAGAAACGAAAAAGTCATAAAAACTAACAATCATTTTATAATTGCAAAAACCAAAAAGATTTCAGTCACAGCTCATTAATTTGCAAACACCAAAAAGATTTCAGTCACGACTCATCTTTAGTTATTCCAAAGTCATACAAAAAAATCTTGCCTCAAGCATTAGTAAACAATTTATTATTTCTGTAAACAACAAAAGCATTAAAAAGGTTCTCAGCTCAAAACGTAGACTCATAAACTCATAAAATAAGTCTGCCAACAAACTTAACGATTTTTTTTATACGTTGAGTCAAACAAACCTGCCATTTTGTGTGAAACCTTTTTCAATGATAAACTTCCAAACTCCATGGTCTGTACTAAAACTGGTCTGTACATTTATCTTAAGGGCTGGATAAAAATGGCAGTGGCGTAGCTATATACTGCATAAATGACGTTTAATTTTCCATAGTAAACAAGGTCTGACTGGCTTGAAAAAACGGCCCGGGAAATGTCAACACAAATTTGTATACTAGAAACAAATTTGGATACGCAAGATTATGCGTATTAAGCTTCTGGAGTTCAAAGTAACATTTTTTGCAAGGTTTGCATGAATTTCAGTGGCTGTTGTTGTTTTCTACTGCTGGAATTCTAAAGACAATTTCAAGTCAACGGATTTAGATTGTCGGATGTTGTCCGAGACAGAGTTAGATATTTCCGTGTCAAATAGCTACTGATACTCATGTTCAAGAGATGTTTCGAAACATATCCTTCCAAAGTACAACAATTTCGTTTGAAGCTGGTCTATTGTTACACAAGCATCAAATTTTCTGAACAACCCACTGAGGTGCTGCAATGCGTCACTAGGCATTTTTACAAAAATTTCTGCAAAATTTCTTGGATCTAAACAAAAGAAATTACCTTATACCATGTCCAGATAACCTCTGTTTTAAATTACTAATTATTTGAATCATGATAATGTTGTGAACATTGATAGGAAATTTATCTTTCGCACTTTCAAGTAGTTTGTTGGCTCTAATTATTTCCTTTTTTAGACCAGTCTGAACTTCAAATCCATGTTTTTGTATTATACCCATTCCAGTTGATTGCAAATATTTAGATGATGGCGTTGTATTCTCAATTACTTTCAAAAACAATTTTACCGTCAAAATAAGTTCAAAATTTGTCATGGAATCTAAAAGAGTTTTTGCTCTGTAGCGGACATCATCAATGAATTTGATTGATGTAGAAATATCATAAAATATTTGTAACATGTCAATGTACAAATAATCAATAACTTATGTTTCTTGATTTGAGATCAAGTCCAATATCTTAGTAAGCTCCCACCAACGGGTTTCACCGATTAAAAATATATATTTCAATTTGCTAAATTCATGCCAAACATCGAAGCGTAAGTATAATTCCAGTAAAAATACTGCACATGTGTTTAAAACACAAAATAAAGTAAAAACTTTAACAGCTTTTTTAGTAACGTCACTCATTTTTTCAAACAAGACATGCACATAACACCATACATGAATCTGACCCGGGGAGACTTTGTTTAACCAGGTGTTGATTCCATTATATTGATCTTGCATATTGGAGGCTCCATCGGTTCCATTGCCAATAAATTTACTTATATAAACAAAAAAAATTTTTAAACCAAAAAATGGCCAATAACAACAATATCTCGTTTTATTCAATCAATTGAAAATCTTTAATTGCAAAAACAGTGTTTTTGCAATTAAAGATTTGTGTCATATATACAATTTTCTTTTATTACAAGAGCATTGGTTGTTACCCAATGAGCTTGAATTATTAAACAATCTATATTCAGACTTTTATGGTACTGGTATATCAGCAGTAAACATATCACCTGATGTATTATTTGGTAGACCCTTTGGAGGGACTGCTTTTCTTTATTGAAAAAATTTGTCAAATGATATTAAAATTACTGAATCTTTAGAATCCAGAATGACTTGTTTAAAAGTATCTGCCAATATAGGGCCAATTTTGCTAATATGTGTGTACATGCCCACGAATTATAACGACGAACATTGTCTGCATAGTTGACAATGTTCGTCGGATATATGTTCTAAAATAAACTCACTTATAGTGGAAACTGATGCAATAAACACAGTTATTGCTGGTGATTTTAATTGTTATAATGGATCAAGAATTTATGAAAAACTTTCTAAATTTGCTCTCAAAAATAAACTGATTAAATCTGATATCAATTGCCTCGATAATATCTGTACATATGTCAGTGACGATGGATCTATTTCTTCGTGGTTGGACCACATTCTATGCAGTCCAGTTATTGATAATCTAATTATATCTATATCAGTTTTAAATAATATTATTGCATCAGACCATAAACCATTAGCGTTTCTGATTTCTTACTCGTTAGCAAACTCCTCTAAAATAAATAACAGCAAACCTTATTCTAATATGTAAACTAGATCTTCTAACTGGGAAATTTGTGACAAAGCCACTTTGACCCAATATGAAGAAAAAGTAGACTTTTTATTGAAATCCGTACATATACCACTCTATCTACTAACTGAAATTATACCAAATGGCTACATTACAACTTACGGTTTTGACTTATTATATAATTCCATCATAAATACTATGCAATCTGCTGTATTTGATGCCATACCTAACTCTAGTTTTAAACATAAAAATCATGAATATACTACTCTAGGTTAGAATGACTTTGTTAAAGATAAACACGAAATTGCATTAGATGCATTCAAGCAATGGATTTTTCAAGGAAAGAAGAAACAGGTTGACATTTTTGAAAACATGATGCGCTCTCGTGCTACTTTCAAATTAGCTCTTAGATATTATACACATCATAATGAACAAATTCAAGCTGATTTATGTGCAAAAAGTCTGAATAATACCCACTCAAGAAAGTTCTGGAACAATGTGCGTAAGATCAGTAACAATAACGCAGTAAGCTTTGTTGCTGGTGTTGGAGGTGCTACAGGGAATAGTTATTTTGCAAATATGTAAAGAGAGCACTTTCAAAAATTGTATAACTCAACTAACAATGAAAAATATTACCTCAACTTCATGATGGAAATGGAACTCTCCACAGAAAAATCTGATATTATTGTGAGCTGCATTGACATATCTAATACAATAAAAACTCAGAAACTAGGAAAAGCAGCTGGACCTGACGACCTTTGTATAGAATCTTTTAGGTATAGTGGAAATAGACTGCAGCTTTTTGTTAGTATTTTTTTAATTTATGCATTAAATATAGTTTTTTACCATCTACGTTTTGTGAAGCCACGATTATTCTAATAGTGAAATGTAAAATGGCTGATTTAACAGATGTGATCAACTATAGAGCCATAGCTGTTTCCTCTGCCATGTCAAAAATATTTTAGAGTCTTTTATTGCAGAAAATTAATATGTTCATCATTGATAAAAATGATGATTACCAGTTTGGCTTTAAACAAACTCACTCAAAAACGGTATGCTTAAACTATTTTAAAAAGACCGTGCAGTACTAGACATCTAGAGGAAGCCATGTATTTGCTTGTTTAATAGACTTTAATAAAGCATTTGTCAGTGTCAATTACTGGCTGTTGTCTCAGAAATTATTAGATAATGGGTTACCCTAAAAACTTGCTTGTTTGCTTGCATTTTGGTAAAAT